CCTGAAGGAGACATACCGCTGCATCAAGCAGGTTCACTACACGCTGCCTGCCAGCCTCTCACTGCCTGCCCGGCAGCTTCTAGCTGCCATCCTTCGGGCTTCACCCCGAGACCGCCCCTCTATTGACCAGATCCTGCGCCATGACTTCTTTGCCAAGGTCTGTGGCTCCCTAGACCTCTAAGTCCAGTCTGTGTATTCCCAGGGATTGAAAGGGGGCAGGTGACAGGACCACTGGAGCTTCTATTCTCTGTTCACATGGCTCCCCTCCTTAGGGCTACACCCCTGATCGACTCCCTATCAGCAGCTGTGTGACAGTCCCAGACCTGACACCCCCCAACCCGGCTAGGAGTCTGTTTGCCAAAGTTACCAAGAGCCTCTTTGGCAGAAAGAAGAACAAGAGTGAGTCTTGGGTGTCAGTGGGTTGAGGGGTAGAGCAGGAGAGCAGCTTGTCACATTTGTCTTGGGCATGTGAGTGTGGGTGTCTGGGGACTTGTGGGGGAGAGCATGTGCAGTACAGGTCCTTGGGGAGGTCAATCTCTGTGTCACCCCTGTGGGAAGTGGAGGGGCTGGGCCAGATACTGAGGACAGTATCACCCTTCACCCCCAGGTAAGAATCATGCTGAGGAGAGGGATGAGGTCTCCTGTTTGGTGAGTGGTCTCATGCGCACGTCCATTGGCCATCAGGATGCCAGGCCAGAGGTGAGGCACTCACGTGGACACTGTTCCCCTGACTCACCCCCACCCTAGCAGCTGAGGGAAGCCGGGGATAAAAGAGGCTGCTGAAGCATCCAGCCTCGTGGTAGCCTAATTGGCTGTGTGTCACTAGCCTGATGGGGCTCTGACCTGGAGTGCCCTGGGAGCCAGGGCGGGGCTGGGCCATGGACTCAGGGGTTTGGATTTCGGGGCCTGTCTCACTCCCTTTCCCTGCCCAACCCTCCAGGCTCCAGCAGCTTCTGGCCCAGCCCCTGTCAGCCTGGTAGAGACAGTACCTGAAGACAGCTCACCCCGTGAGACACTGGCAAGCAGTGGAGACGGTGAGGAGGCAGGGAGGTTGAGAGGTTGCTGGAGCTGAGACCAGGGACCAGAGGGAAGGAGTGAGCAGAGAGGCCTGGCCTGGGTCCTGGGGGGCTGATGCCTAAATCTCAGTGCCCTGTCTCCTTCAGGATTTGAAGAAGGTCTGACTGTGGCCACAGTGGTGGAGTCAGCCCTCTGTGCGCTGAGAAACTGTGTGGCCTTCATGCCCCCAGGTAAGGTCGGGGTCTGGTATGTGCTGCTGTGGAGGGAGTTCTGTGGCTGGGAGGCCAGGAGCAGATCTTCACTCTCTCCTCTCCCATGACAGCGGAACATAACCCGGCCCCCCTGGCCCAGCCAGAGCCTCTGGTGTGGGTCAGCAAGTGGGTTGACTACTCCAACAAGTTTGGCTTTGGGTATCAACTGTCCAGCCGCCGTGTGGCTGTGCTCTTCAATGATGGCACACATATGGCCCTGTCAGCCAATAGAAAGTAAGTGCTGTTACGGGGTGCCTTGTATTTAGGCCACTAACCCAGCGGGGCTGCACCTGGGTGTGTGCTCCTGGCTTAGGGATCTAGGGTTTCTCAGGGGAGGGGCATTGGTGCAGGGCACCCTCTGACCTCTGCCTCCCCATTCCAGGACTGTGCACTACAACCCCACCAGCACAAAGCACTTCTCCTTCTCCGTGGGTGCTGTGCCCCGGGCCCTGCAGCCTCAGCTGGGTATCCTGCAGTACTTCACCTCCTACATGGAGCAGCACCTCATGAAGGTGTGAGGGCTGGAGCTGTGGCACACTGAAAACCAACACATCCCGATCCCTTCTGATTCCCCCTTGGTGGTGGGGGGTGGTACTCAAAGCTAGAGGATAAGGCACACATTAATGGCGAGGGGACTGTCTCATGCTCGATCAGTGACTTGCCCCAATCCCACACCCAGGGTGGAGATCTGCCCAGTGTGGAAGAGGTAGAGGTACCTGCCCCACCCTTGCTGCTGCAGTGGGTCAAGACGGATCAGGCTCTCCTCATGCTGTTTAGTGATGGCACTGTCCAGGTAAAGGACTATCCAGGAGTTGCTGGGAAGGTCTGGGAGGCCCAGGGTGCTGGGGAGGAAGCCGGGTCCGGAGCCTAGGCCCTGACCACTGTCATCCTCCTGTGTGCAGGTGAACTTCTACGGGGACCACACCAAGCTGATTCTCAGTGGCTGGGAGCCCCTCCTTGTGACTTTTGTGGCCCGAAATCGCAGTGCTTGTACTTACCTCGCTTCCCACCTTCGGCAGCTGGGCTGCTCCCCAGACCTCCGGCAGCGACTTCGCTATGCTCTGCGCCTGCTCCGGGACCGCAGCCCAGCGTAGGACCCAAGCCCTGAGGCCTAAGGCCCGTGCCTGGAAGGCTCTGGCCCTTGCCTTTGTGGCCCTTCCCGTTCCTTTGGTGCCTCACTGGGGGCTTTGGGCTGAATCCCCCAGGGAATCAGGGACCAGCTTTACTGGAGTTGGGGGCAGCTTGTCTTCCCTGGCTCCTACCCACTCTCCAAGATAAGCCTGAGCCTTAGCTCCCAGCTAGGGGGCGTTATTTATGGACCACTTTTATTTATTGTCAGACACTTATTTATTGGGATGTGAGCCCCAGGAGGGTCTCCTCCTAGGATAATAAACCATTTTGCAGAATTGGAGTCTCCCTCACTCGCAGTAGAGCCCGTGGACTGTGGCCACGGCAAAGAGCGAGGCGTTGGTGTAGGAGGCGGAGGCCAGCCCGTCGCACGCCTCGTCCCAGAGTGCGCGGCTAACTACAAGCACGCCTTGCCCCGCGCGTGGCCCCAGCACCACGCTGCACACCAGCTTGTAGCGCGGGGGGCTGAGTTCGCGCAGGCGCACGCGTACCTGCTCGCAGAGCTCCTGCGCCAGATGCCCGGCCTCGGTGCCCGAGTAGCTCACGTCTCTCAGCCCTGCGGCCAAGGCCGCCTCCAGAGCACGCTGTGCGCGCGCGGCCTCCCAGCGCTCCCCCGGCACCGGCTCCCTGCGGTAGGAGGGTGCCACCCGACGGGCGGGCGCCAGGGGCAACCCCGAGAAGCTGACCCGTGAGCCCAGAGGGGGCACGGGGCCCAGGGATGGCCGCCGATCCCCAGGGCCCGCGCCTGGCCCAGCCAGGGAGTTCCGGCGGGAGAAGGACGCAACCAGGCCCAGCATGGAGCCCCGGCGTGAGGCCGGTCCCGGACCTGGACCTGGACCTGCTGGTCGAGCCTCATCAATGCTGGGCAGGCGGCCTCGGGGCCGCACCAGTGAGAGTTTCGGCCCGGAGTCTTTGGCATTCTCCTCCTCCTGGCGTCCAGGAGGCAGCGGCCTACTGGCCATGGACCTGCTGGCTGGAGGACCCACACTCAGGGAGGCCTTCACAGGGCGTCTGTCTACCCACCCCAGCCTCTTGCTCAGTGATGTCAAGAGTTTTTACCTTCTTCCCCCTTCTTACCTGTGTTTTGGAACAAGTGGATCAAATAGTCCCAGGCTGCCTGGGTTCCTAGGTGCCGAGAAGGTTGAAGGCTGTTAGACACACAGGCTGCTGGGACTGGGATCCTCGGCTAGTCCCTGCCCGCTGAGCTCCTTCCCTGGGCACTGTGGAGGTTAGCCAGGTGCACTGAGTCTTAGACACTGCCTTTTCTCCCTTCCACCAGACTTCTCTAAAAGGGGAGGCGGACCTCTGCCTCAGCCTGCACTGTGGAGGTGATGGTGCCTCCAGCCCCTAACCAGGAAGGACCAACAGACCCAGCTCCTTCAGCCCCAGGCCTGGGGGTGTTGAATCCAATCCTCTTGCACTAGATCTACTCTAGAGTGGCTGGCACAAAGATTCCCCCACACTTGGCTATGGCTGAGGGCAGAAGACTTGTGAAGCCCCCTTCCACCTTCTGCCTCTGGCCTCTGATCCCACTTCCTCCAGAATCAGTTCTGGGATGGCAGCCCTCTGCTCCTGAAACTCCCTCAGGCACCTGAGTCACCTGCAGTTTTGGCTTCTGAGTTCTCTCCTGACTCCACAGCTCTGGCTGTGGGGGCCTGAAGGGCAAGTGGGAGGGGAAGGACCTGTGTTGTGGAGTTGCCAAGGGTTGCTGGGGCAAACACTCCTCCCTTCCGGGATCCATCCCTCCAGTCCAGCTCTGGCTTAACCTGACAGCGTTGTTACTGTGAGCACGTGCTGAGTGTGGGGTGCCCCCGAGTCATCAGGAAGAGCGGCCGACAGGGTGTTGCAAACTCAGGCAAACTCTCTAAGCGTGGACTACAGGGGTAGATGTAGAGCAAGGCTGTGGTCAGAAAGGCCTCATCCTACCCCGGGGCTCTTCAGCCAGGGTTCATTTTCCCCCCTTGTGGAATGGCCAGATGACTGGCCATTTGTGAACAAGTCACAGAGGCCTAGGATAGGGGGGAGACCTTGAGGCTGCGGGGGTGGTGGCTCAGGAATCCAGGGTCTGGGCCCACAGGAAGGAACACGTCATGGCTCTGCCTCCCCATCAGCCTCAACAAGGACAAACATTTCCGCTGTCGGCGCAGAGTTAGGGTGGGGCTTGGATGACTTCCTCAGTTCAGGGTTACGTGCGGGGGAGGGGAGGCCCATTGGCTCAGCTGGTAGGAACCAGGCTTAAAAAGTGGCAGTGACTCGGCAGTGAACCCCGAGTCCAGCCTCGTGACCCTTGCTGACCCAAGTGTCCTGGGGCTTGTCCCTAGCTGGCTACATATTGTGTGGCCTAGTACCTAGATTTCCCCGATGAGGCATTTCTGAGATGGCAGAGGCTGTGACACCTCTGCCAGAGCTGACACTCATGTGACTTCCCTCTGGCAGGGACGGGACTGTCCCCTCCCAAACAAGCCAGGTCTGGGTCCTGGAAACCCATCTATGGGGGCGAGGATTTTCCCTGTTGAGTGGGGGTTTCCCAGGCCTGGCTAACAGGATCCTGACCCTGTGTGCCTGTGGAGGAGGGAAGGGTTAGGAGGGCAGGGAGTTTGAACTCTGAACCTAGGGCAGGCCGGGGTTCAGGGGCTAAGACCCTTGGACGGTGCTTAGTGCCCCTCTAAAGGCTGAAGTTTTCCCTGGGCTTGACGGGAGATGGGTGGAGTCTATTCTCAGGCCGGCTCCAGTTTCCATGGAAACCTACAGGCTTCCCACCCCGGCGCTGCCTGGGCAGACTCCCAGCCAGGGCCTCTTTCGCCGCCAGCCAGCCAGCCAGCCAGCCAGCCTCTTCCCAGGACCACGGGCCGCTCTAGCCTTGGCTTCTCCTGGCCCCTCCCTGTGTCTGTTCCTGTCCCTGAGCCTCTGGCCCCTGATGCTTTCAGGAGCCCGGGCCTCTCCTGCTCCACTCTTAAACCTCAGCTTCTCAGCAAACAGGCCTCCCAAGTCCCTGCTTCTCCCTCTGGGGCCTTGCTACTCTCACCAGCTCTAGGGCCTGGTCAGACTTCCCAGGCCCCCTCCTTCACCCCTAACCCTTCTCACCCATGGATCCCCCGGGACTGGTCGTGCATGGGAAAGCTGAACCCTTTTCCGCAGCACTCCGAAGCCTCGTCAACAACCCGCAATACAGGTGAGGGTGGGCCCTGCCTGCAGGTTTTCCTTAGGTGGCTCTGCCAGCCCCAGGTCTGAGGCGGCCCTGGTGAGAAGAGGCTGGGAATAAGAACTTGGCCCTCTTCCCTGGTGAACTCAGGCTGTGGGAAGGTCACATGTGGAACTTGGCTACTGGTCAGTGTCTGTGAGACCCTGAGAGCTGGAGAGAGGCAGGGCTGGTGGGGGTCCTTGGGGATAGAGCTGGGAGCTACTGTGTGAACTTAGGCAAAGCCCTTCTTCTTTGGACGTTGGGTCCCTGGCAGAAGAGAATGATTCTCAGCCCCTGGGATTCTGAGAGACGGTGGGTCATGATTCCCCTCCTCCTTCCACTCACTCAGCTTGGTGTTGAGGCCTCTCTGCTTGAGGAAGAGGAACAGATGATCCTGTTCTGGGAACTGAGCCTTCACAAGAAGAACAAAGCTTGAGGGATTGAGCCATATCCCTGACAGGAAGCCTGGGGGTGCTGGCTGCTCCCTGCTGGCTAGAATGCCAGTAGTGTCTGAAACCAGGGATAGAGGTTACAGGAGGCAGGGCTGTGAGGAGAGCTAGAATGAAGCTCTCTGTCTTCATGCTCTCAGATCTGGGCTCTTTCCGAAAGGGTGGTGACTTCCATCACCCTGCTTCTTTGGGGGTCACAGTCTGGTCTGGGTAATGTGAACACTGTGAATACTCCAGGCTTGGACCTGGGACTAAGAGGCTCCAGGAGGCTCCAACCTCATCTGCCTCCTATCACCTGCCTTGTTCAGAGGTCCAGAGCTGGGGCCGGAAGTGATCATGAAGATGGAAACTGTGGTCTGGCTCATGATGGAGCATCACTGCTGTCTGTTTGCAGTCAATGTGCACTCTCCACCCTACACTCCCACACCCTCCTGTCTGGAGGAGGGCTGAAAAAAGCTGAGTTTGCAGCTGGTGGAGGAGGAGCCAAAAGAAGCTTCCCTTACCCCAAGACTCAGGCTGGGGAGGAGAGGGAAAGGTGGGATCAACCTTACTTATATTAGCCCAGATGCCCCTCAGTAATCAAGCATAGTCACCTCCTCCAAGACCAGAGGTTTAGGATTATTGTCCCATTTCATGGGTGAGAAACCTGAGATTCAAAGATAGGAAGTCACTTGCCTACGGTACTATTGGGTAGAGCTGGGACTAGAACTCAGGCCTGTGGGTCCCAGACATTCTGCTAGAGGGACTAAGCTCTGTCTCTTACATTCTGGATAGGAAACTAAGACCCAGAGTGGGCAAAGGCACAGCCCAAGTTGCGCTCTAGACTATGGCCTCCTCTCCGCTGGCTCTCTGCCTCTCTCCCACAGTGATGTTCGCTTCGTGGTCGGTCAAGAACAGCAGGAGATATTTGCCCATCGGTGCTTGTTGGCCTGTAGATGCAACTTCTTCCAGCGACTTCTGGGCACAGAGCCAGGCCCTGGGGTGCCTAGTCCTGTGGTGCTAAGCACTGTGCCAACTGAGGCCTTCCTGGCAGTGCTGGAGTTCCTGTATACCAACAGTGTCAAGTTGCACCGCCACTCTGTGAGCCCACTGATCAAAGGCCTGGGTGGGAGAGGTGGGGGGGGCCAGAGGCAGGAGTTTGCCCATTACACTGTGGGTCTAGGGCAGGGGAAACTCCCTTCCACTCCCCCAACCACCCACTCTACAGGTGCTGGAAGTGCTGACAGCGGCTGTGGAGTATGGGCTGGAGGAACTGAGAGAGGTGGGTTTTTGTGCTAGGTCCCTGTCTCATTTCCCTTGCCTCTCATGGGCTTACTTCCCACCCTGTTTCACACACACTCTGGCCTGGAGAGGAATGTGTGCCCACACAGAGAGAAGTTTGTGTATCTCTCCATGTTAGAGGGCATGAATCTGTGCCTGTGTGCAAAAGGATCCATGCGTGCCTGCCCCGTGTGTGCTGTGGGGGTTGGGGGGTGTTTATGGCTCTTGCTATACATACAAGGATGTCAGCCTTGATCTCTGTTCTCCAGAGAGAGAGAGGAGACAGACACTGAAAACACTTATCTGGGTGGCATAAGAAGTGTGATAGAGGCCGGGAGTGGTGGCTCACGCCTGTAATCCCAGCACTTTGGGAGGATGAGGCAGGCAGATCATGAGGTCAGGAGTTCGAGACCAGCTTGGCCAAAATAGTGAAACCCCATCTCTACTAAAAATGCAAAAAATTAGCTGGGCATGTTGGCGGGTGGCTGAAATCCCAGCTACTTGGGAGGCTGAGGCAGGAGAATCACGTGAACCTGGGAGGCGGAGGCTGCAGTCAGCTGAGATTGCGCCATTGCACTCCAGCTCGGGCAACAGTGTGAAACTCCATCTCAAAAAATAATAAATAAATAAATAAAATTCACCAGGCGTGCTAGTACGCTCCTGTAATCCCAGCTACTTGGGAGGCTGAGGCATGAACACTACTTGAACCTGGGAAGCGGAGGTTGCATGAGGGTGGGGCACCTCTCCAGTCCTGCCACTAGGGAGAGGAGGAGAAGACTTCCTGGAGGAGGAAGCATTTGTATTGGATCTGGTAGAACAAATAGGATTTTGTTCGTAGGGGAAGTGGGAAGATGGTATTCTAGTCACAGAGGCAGAAAAAGAGCTAGTGAGACATTTGGTGTGTCTGGACTGTGAGGAGAGAGCAAGGTGAGACTGCAGAGGACGCCAGGGCCTGGTCATGTAGGGCCCTCCAGCATTTGGACTTCTTTTAAGCAGAAGGCAGTGGAGATTCACTGAAGGTTTCCGGTAAGGGAGTGAGGAACTGGAAGCTCAGGGGAGAAGGGATTGAAAGAGGTGGGGAGGACTCACCAGTCAGTCAGGAGGTGAGTGCAGCAGTCAAGAGATGAGAAAGATGTTACAGATGAAATTCAAGTTTCTGCTAAAAATAGAAGTATGCTTGAGTCAGGAAGGGAACAAGTGGAGGAAGCTAAGCATCCTGAAAGAAGGGGAGAATTTTGCATGGCTCTTATCTGGTCTTGATTAGTGGCAAATGTGCTAGAAGGTGGGTGGCGGGGATTGGTTTTGCTAGTGACCAGTTCCTGTGAGCTAGCTGTCTCAGGCTCCCACGATTCTCTGCCTCCTCTGGCCTGGGAGGTCAGGATGCATCTGGGGCTGCTAGGTGACTCACCGTTCCAAGCCTGCTCATTGCTTCTGGGGTAGAGCTAGTGTCTTGGAGCAGGGACACTGCCACACAACCCACATTCATTTCTGTTCCCAGCTGTGCCTGCAGTTTTTGGTGAAGGTGCTGGATGTGGAGTTGGTTTGTGAAGCCCTGCAGGTGGGTGCTGCTGGACAGGCATGGAGGAGTCTGGCTCTGTGTGTGGAAATGGGCCCCCAGGTGCTGGGAGCTTGGGCCTGCTGTGTCTGGCCTGGAATAACTTAGGTACTTTGTGGGTGGGGGGGTGCTCCAATGATGTTTATATGATGAATTCTATGCCCAGACATGTGGGGTCCTGGGTATATCAGCTGGGTCAGGTGCAGGAGCAGATATCGAAGGGACTGGAGGTTTTTGCTGGTATTCTAGCTAGGGCTGGGGAATGGTTCTCAGCTGGACTTGGGGTAGGGGGATGGGTGGCTGTAGACTTTAGAAGCCAAGACTAAGCCCCAGGTGGGGTTTGAAGGCCGTGGGGTGGTCTCCTGCAGGGAAGGACAGGTTGTAGAGTGAGTCCACCTGTGTGTATATGTGTGTACCAAGGCTTTCACTGGGTCTAGTTTCCTGGAGGGCCGAGGACCCTGTCCGCCTCCCCAGCTAGGGCTAGGGTCAGGCTTGCAGTGGTGGGTCCCAGTGAGCAGAGCTGGACTATGCGACCAGTCCAGTCTCCAACCTGACCTCCCTCATTCTGCTCGCAGGTGGCCGTAACCTTTGGCCTGGGGCCGCTGCGGGAGCATTGCGTGGCTTTCATAGAGGCCCACAGCCAGGTACTCCTCCCTTCATACTCTTCACCCCACGCAATGCATTCTGCTCCTCCCTGACCCATTTGCCGGTCGCAGGAGGCCCTCCGGACCCGAGGCTTCCTGGAGCTGTCGGCGGCCGCGCTGCTGCTCCTGCTACGCAGCGACAAGCTCTGTGTGGACGAGGCCGAACTGGTCCGCGCGGCCCGGAGCTGGGCGCGCGTGGGCGCAGTGAGTGGGGCTGGGGGAGCGCAAGGGCGCGGAAGGAGGTGCGGGCCGCAAGCCCGGCTAGCGGGCCGCAGGGCGGGTGCCCGACTCAGGGCTGGCGTTCGCAGGCGGTGCTGGAGCGGCCGGTGGCCGAGGTGGCGGCCCCCGTGGTGAAAGAGCTGAGACTAGCCTTGCTGGCCCCGGTGGAGCTGAGCGCCCTCGAAGAGCAGAACCGGCAGGAGCCCCTCATCCCGGTGCGGACGCGGGGAACCGGCCCAGCTCCACTCAGCAGCGGGGTTTCAGGGCGCTGGGAGGAGGAGGGCGCGGCCCAGCCCACAGTCCTCGGGGCGAGGGGCCACCGCGGGACTGAGCGCTGACTGGCCTTGCTCTGCAGGTGGAGCAGATCGTGGAGGCGTGGAAGTGCCACGCCCTGCGGAGAGGGGATGAGGCCCGGGGCACCCCATGTCGCCGCCGGAAAGGCACCCTGCCCCGGGAGCATCACCGCTTTCTGGACCTGGGTTTCAAATGAGCCAGTGTCGGGACTCGCGGGGGGAGCCCTGGGCCCGCCCAGCTGAGCCTGCCCCAAACTACAACTCCCGACGTGCTCGGCGTTCCGGATCGCCCTTCCGTTCCCGGCGTGCTCAGCGGGCTGGGAGCCGGAAGGACCGTTGTCTGCCACGCATAGACCTTTGTGACGGGTCGAGCCGGTGTGGGCGAGGTGGGGCCGGGCAGGGCTTGGGCTGAGCCTCTCTGCGGTGGCGAAACTCGAAAACGCAGATTTCTTTCGCTCGACGCCCTCACTCTACGCCCTGTCTCTGGGCATTGTCGCCCAGCAGTCTATTCTGATGACTCACATTATCTATCTGTTCAGCTCAACTCCCTCTTTCATTCCAGACCTGCCTCCTGGAGATCACTACCTGAATGTCCCTCAGACACCAAAGGCTCCTTGCGAAATTGGTCTCCCCAGCTTTCCCCAGCTCTGCCCCCATCGTGTTTTTCACTTCCGTGGGCGCCCACGCCAGAAACCTGGATCTCATCCTTGCCTATTCCTCTTCCTCACACCTGCCTCAGGTCGCTTTTACCTTGTAAGAGACCTTTGCAGTTGGTTTCGTTCTCTCAGCCCCAGGTTCAGCCTGTCCTGTCTGACACGTCTCAGTCTTCCTGCCTTCACTCCAGCACCCCCTCAATCCATTTCTCACAGTGCAGCCAGACCTGTCTATGATGGTCAGTCCTATGGCCCTTAAGTCCTGGAATATCCCATTGACCTTCTGGACAAAATTCAATCTATTTCACTTTCAAGGCACAACTTAGTAAGTGGTTCCTAAATACTAGCAACTCTTCTTTCAAATACGATCTTTGCATAACTTCCCTCATCCTGGAGGTATTAGTCCTCTAGCTCCCTATTTACTTAGTTATTGCAGACCCTCTGCTATCTCCTTCGTTCACCATACATCTTGTTTTCCTGAGGTTGGAAATCTCCCTGGAGAAAGATCCCTGGGGATTGGAGTGACGTCTTACTCATTTCTGCTTCCGCAGTCTCTGTCAGATAATCAGCACTCTGTAAATGTTAAGTAAATGACTTTGTTTCCTTATATATTTATTTAAGACAGGGTCTTACTCTCAGGATGGAATGTAGTGGTGCAATTTCGTCTCACTGCAGCCTCAGCCTCATGGGCTCAAGCAATCCTTCCACTTCAGCCCCCTGATTAGCTGGGACTACAAGTGTGCTCCACCACATTTGGCTAATTTTTTTTTCTGTTTGTAGAGATGAAGTCTCCCTATCTTGCCCGGGCTGATCTCAAATTCCTGGGCTAAAGCTTTCCCACTCCGTCTTCCCAAAGTGCTGGGATTAAAGCTGTGAACCACCACCGCACCTGGCCTATTTCCTCATTTAAATGGCACTTTATTGGGCCGGGTGCGGTGGCTCAAGCCTGTAATCCCAGCACTTTGGGAGGCCGAGGCGGGCGGATCACGAGGTCAAGAGATCGAGGCCATCCTGGTCAACACGGTGAAACCCCGTCTCTACTAAAACTACAAAAAGAAATTAGCTGGGCATGGTGGCGCGTGCCTGTAATCCCAGCTACTCAGGAGGCTGAGGCAGGAGAATTGCCTGAACCCAGGAGACGGAGGTTGCGGTGAGCCGAGATTGCGCCATTGCACTCCAGCCTGGGTAACAAGAGCGAAACTCTGTCTCAAAAAAAAAAAAAAAAAAAAAGGCACTTTATTCCATAAAGAGTTTTAAATGAGCTGCAAAGCAAGATACTATCAACCTAAAATGAGAGATAGTTGACTATTTAGAAGAAAATAAAGTTAGATTTCCGTCTCAGGGACTTTATTCAAAAAGATATTACACAGGAGACTGGGCACCGTGGGAGGCCAAGGTGGGTGGATTGCCTGAGCTCAGAGGTTCGAGACCACCATGGCCAGTGTGGCAAAACCCTGTCTCTACTATAAATACAAAAAGTTAGCCAGGCGTGGTGGTACATGCCTGTAATCCCAGCTACTTGGAAGGCTGAGGCACAAGAATTGCTTGAATCTAGAAGACAGAGGTTACAGTGATCTGAGATTGTGCCATTGTCCTCCAGCCAGGGTGACAGAGTGAGACTCTGCCTCAAAAAAAAAAAAAAAAAAATATATATATATA